AATTCATGGTGTTTAGGGACATCCACAGTTACTGGTTGCTATGGTTACAGGTATTACAAGACAATCTGAGATTCACAATAAATCACTCATAAACACAGTTATCAATCCTCAACAGTGATTTTGTGAACCTAACCAATCATATGCTAAAAACAAGCTATGAAAGAAGAGGAAGTACTGTAATTACTCTGTCAAAAATGTCATTTAGCTGATATTTTACGCATTTGAGTAAAGTAAACGACAGAACCAATGACATACAAAAACATTATTTAGACAGGGTATTGATGTCTAAATGAATGCCTCAGCAAGTATGTGCATCAGACACACAGTAGTAGTAACAGAAGCTCAAATAAACTGACAGACCGAATTTCTGGCATATTGCGTTTCTCAGGTTTACGCCAGTTCCAGCCTGTTCACTCAGAAAATAAAGTGCAATCACAATAATAGGGCTTGACAATCTAACCTTGATTGAATTTCGCCGCCACTAGCTCGCACTAAAACACACAAAGGACATAATTGTGAAACAACTACGTTCGTCACTCGTAATTTGCTCAAAACCACCATCCTGCCTTTCATTCTGTCCTCACATGTGACATTTACAGACGAGGTAACAGCACAAGCTTGAGAAGAAAAATCAGGTGCAAATGTTGCATCAACAGAAGAAACGGTCTGTAAACGGTACACTCTCTGCAGCAGTGCGAGCGAACGCCTCAGGGAGGAGAGCTCCATTTTGCTTGTATTTTTCCACATGAATATTAGCATGTGGGCTAGCCTGTCTGGTTCTGCTCCAAATCCTCTGTGACTATGTCTGACCTCAGACGACCATACGCCCCGAACGGACTCATTCTGTGTGGCTGCAACATCAGGGGCGCTTCAGGAAATAAAACTTACTGGCTTGATAAGACATATCAGCGTGCAAGAAATGGGAAAGAAATTTGTGTAGAACCACGTTAAGAAAGAAGAGAAAAAAAACAGCATATTGCTTTATCTGCTTCCATAACATATGAATACATCGCAATGTTTCGAGAAAACAAGATCTTCATCAGGCAAACCATTATCAAGGGGTTTTCCATTCACAAAGTAAACACTCACACTTGATAATAGACATGGACAATCAACAAAAGAAACAATTATCCAATAAGAAGAAAAACAATTGAACCACATTTTCAACAATTGTATCAATGCAAGGACAGTAGTGGCTGTTTACCACAGATTCACCATGTTTTATTCACACTGGACTTCAAAACTTTACGCTCTCCTTAGACAATTCATTCAGAGGTATGGACAATATGAACAATAAGTGTGACCAGGAGAGTCATGAGTATCGGTTCACCTTCGCGATTATACCAACAATTTAATCTGCTCAGATGGGTCTCCGCTAGTAATGCCTAAAAACACGTCATACACATGAACATAATGCGTGTAAATAAACGCTAAACGTATGCTAAGCTAATATGCAGAGCAGTTAGTTTGCAAAAAAATAAGCTACCTAAAACACACACACACACACACACACACACACACAAAAGATCAATTACTTTTTTTTTCAATTTACCAACACCTGACCTGACTCTTAAACCAGTTCTTTTCAGTGAATCAAAAACATCCAGTGGAAGCAGTATATTCTCAATCACACAAAAAATTACTCAAAAGAGCCAGTTAAATAATCATTCAAAAAAAACTTTGTTCTTGTAGTTTGAACCTGCTCACTGAATGAATTCACTGAATCTGTCAGAGAAATGACATTACAATTACCAATCTGATTATCGATTAATCTTGTCTACCCGCTGAGCACGGAAAACATCGTCACATCACTTTACAGTTTTTCAAGTAATCTACAACTTGAGAACGATTTATATTACGTCCAATATATATATATATATATTATGCCCCTGATTAACCGATTAAAAAAGCAAAAATTTTTTCAAATGTAGCATAGCATATAGCATATAGTAGAGCCCGACCGATAAAGGATTTTGAGGCATCACTGATTCAAGTAAAACACACCTATTCTTAATTTCTTAGTACTCATTAAAGGTTCTTATGAATGGAATCACTTTGTGGTCCTAGACAGACTTGATTGAGTGAATGGACTGAATTGTTCATGACACAGGGGTTCAGATGAGCAAAGTGGGTGCAGTCCGCTTTCACACCAACCGAACTCTGCCGACAAAAAAATTGTATTCTGGGCTTTGAAACCCTAAGCAGATCTTTGTGAAGTCACTGAGATACTGAACTAGGGTCATTCTGCTTGTACTTCAATCCCTTCTGCTATTTACTCAGTTATATTAAGCCTGGTTCAAACAATTCCCCTCCTTCTGAAGAGGCTCAATGCACTTCAGTATCCTCAAGCTCCAAACCCATTTCTTATAAAACACCAGTTATCGTGATGGCCAAAGTCCCCAAAAATAGCTCTGTATACGTCAAAATCAACACACACTAAATCAGAACAAACAGCTCAATATGCACAGCCCATATCTGAGAGTATTCTTGAATCCATGCAAGTTCTCAGCAACAAAGATGGAGAAAATCGCAGCGATATCATAAACTATTTCAGGATCCGCACCGAAGCAGCAGCCAAAAAGCCAGAGGGCAGGCATTTGCTGTTACGCAATCACCTGTGATGCACTGGTGGGCAGCAGGCACCGAGAATCCCAAAGCAATTTATAGCAACATAATGCTGCCATTTAAACTAAAGAGATTGTTTCTGGCAAAGCAGCAGCATCCGAGCCTTCACCTCGAATAGACTTTTTATAAAGAGACAAGACAAGAGAGCTTTGTTTCTTTGTGCTGTCCCTGGACGTAAAGATCAAATAGCACAGAGAACAAAGGGAGGACATTGATCACGGTGTGGGCACAAAAGCTTAATTTAACTTAAACACGTTCAGTCACTGAAAGATCTTTAGCTCTTAATGAAAGGCATTAATATAGTGTATGCGGCTGTTATTAACTCCAAATGCAGCCCTGTGTGTATCAGAGGACACCCGCAGGGATTTATAGAAGCCGTTTGAAAAGATGAATGAATTCGGGAATTAAGTTTACTTAAACCTTTGAACAATTTGACACTCCAAACAGCATTTTTTTCCTTGCTGAAATCTTCCTGCGTTATGTTGATCAGTGTGGCCCTCTGCAGATCACTATACTTTACTACAACATTACAAAGATAACAGATGCTGAATTTGCTTTGACAAAAAAATCAACCAGATTTCCCCGAGGATTAAAAAGCGATCAGTTGACTCAACTTAAAAAAAAGTTAGGAAACCTGTCGCCTTAAAATTATTAAGTACAAAAAATGAATGTGCAATTGAACAAATTTAGTCATGTGGAATTGTCAAGTTCAATTCTTACGTTTATTACTTTGGGTCAGTAAATCTTTTTTTTTTTTTGTAATTAATATATTTATTCAGCAAGATTGCATTAAACAAGTGACAGTATTAGGGCTGTGAAACGATTAATCGCATCCAAAATAAAAGTTTTTGTTTATATAATATATGTGTGTGTAGTGTGTATAATTATTTTGTATATATATATATATAAATAAATATATATATGCACATGCACTCAAAAAAATTATATGTTGGCTTTAATTAATTTTAATTTGTCAACAGGTTCCACATAACTGGATTACGTTAAACAAACATAATTTGTTCATGTAACTTCAACACAGTGGAATTATGTCATTACCCCAGAGTCTTCAGATCCAATATAGAAGGCACAGCACCGTTTTCTTTTTTTTTTTTTTTTATCTTAATCGGTCTGCAAATCCAGTCTAGACCTGTGTCTTGTTTACAAAACAATCCTCAGTCCTCCTTTAACTCAATCTGTTTGCAATCACATCTTTCTCAATAGGAAAATGCCTATATTCTGATTGGTTCCTGCTGTGTCAGTGGCCAATGAGCTCGATGCTCAACCTTTAAAAACACTTGGTCAGCATTTGCTCTAGCAGTTTGCAGCATGCTTCAGAAACCCTCCGCCTTCCCCGGCTCCACCTGTATTGATCTTCCATGGGTAATTCATGTATGCCATATTGTATAGTAGCAGCATGTCAGACTTGCTCACAGCAGTGTGTCGTGTGTGTATTTGCAATAGCAAGTCCCGTACTTTCTCTGCAGCAGCAATAATCAACAGTAAGAGCAATAACATCTAAATAATTTATTCCACCAATACCAAACATACTGTATAGCATTGTTGTATCCATTACAATGCCAAACACTCCATGAGTTAGACAGAACTGTTTTTACATTGATAAGACATTTTTCTTGAGCAGAAAAACAGCATATTAGAATGATTTCTGATGGTCATTTGACACTGAAGACTGGAGTAATGATGGTGAAAATTCAGCTTTGCATCATAGGAATGAATTAAATTTTAAACTATATTAAAATAGAAAACAGTTATTTTACATTCTAAAAATATTTTACAATATTGCTGTTTACTGGATTTGTATCAATTAAATGCAGCATTGGTGGGCAATCTGGGCATAATACATTTCTTTCAAAAACACTGTATACCATTAATAAACTTTTGAACAGTATTGTATTTTTTTTTTTAGTTGTTCTTTGTTGCAAATACATCTGATTTCCTTTAGAAATTGTAAAATAATGAATTCAACTTTTGAAATGCCATTTGTTACACCACAAAGCAACCAAGAAAATGAACAAGCAAAAGTGACTCAAATGATTAAGAAAAGAAGACGACCTACCACATTTTCCGCTATGTACCAATATACAAATTGGAAATACATTTTCCATTAGACATTAATGTGAGGTGACCTAAATAAATACATCTTTTGTATTTTTTTTTCAAGTTGTTATTTTTCCTTGCCATATCAGCACTAACTGCTAAATAAATAATATACAATTATTATTATTATTTTTAGTAAAACCTTGTTTGTTTGTTAAAAAAAGCTTATGGACATGTTTCACACATAGAAATTAATTTAATTACATATATTGATTCCTATTTAAGAACAAAATATTAAGAAATAATCAAGCTGAACTTACCCTCAGGTGGTTCTTCACGCAGGTAAGGTGGAAGTTCTTCATTATTAGGGTCAGCAGGTGCTTCCTCGATCACCTCAGTCTCTGCACTCGGGCCCTTCAATTAACAAGATTATACAGTTTATGCTATTATACAGAAATACAAACCCGACAATGTAAACAACAACACAATCCTTCATGTTATGCAGTACATTTTCATGTTTCCATCAAGAATATAAATCAAGATAGAATGCAATTTCCACAATTATAATTCCATGTGATCTTTGTTACATTGAGGCAAGTTGCTAAATAAGGAAATTACATCACTTAGCAGCAGTAAGTCAATTCATAATTTCAGTAGGAGAACAACAACACAATCATAAGTTGATTTGATGACATCTATGATGTTTTATAGTATTATTTGATTTATTTCTGAAAGTCTGCAATACACATTTATATAAACACTTACTTAAATTATCAAGTATATTTATATCTGAAAAAAGAATAGAGTGCAAAAGTACTGCATGATATGAATGACCCAATTACAACAACAATTATCATTATCATCATCGTCGTCATCATCATCTCAACCAATTTACACCCTCTTACACAGCTAAAATCTTAAACTTTATGGTTGCAAAATGAAATAAAAGTGATACTGCATAGTTTATACAGTGGTTTTTGCATTATCATGCTGATGATATATTATACCCTATTTATGCATCGACTTATTGCCAGCTGCCCCGTTTATCTAGAGCAAGATAACACAATAATTATCCGACAAAATCGCATTTAGTGACAAAGAAACAAAAAAGTCCCATGCAAATACTTCTGATTTAAAAAATTCAACAGTTTGTGCTCGTGCAGAATCAGGTAAGAACAGGTTTGGCTTCAATACTGTCACGCAAAACAAACAAAATCCTCCACTCACCTTCATTACTGAGGCTATTAATACAGTTTTAGAAAGGACGTCTCTGCACTTCAATATTGATGGAGACGCACAAGACTATAAAATGGGAATAGCGCTTAATACGAAATAAATACAGCGTTTGCTATGTTTTTCAATGCAAGCGGAAGTGACGTTGGGGATGTTTACGGAATTTGGGGATGCTGTTGAGCTGTTGGTCGATAGGGGGCAGCAGCGCGTTGATTATCCTCACTGCCTGAAGAGCTTCGGTTACGATGCTTTTTACCACAGTAAATGTTTGATTAGGGACTAAAACAACATTTTTATGTCTGATATTAATCTCATAGGTAAACCAAAAGTGTACGATATAGCCTATGTGTGCCATATTTGACCTTTTTTGGGCCTTTTTCTTAAATTATAAAATTGCAAAAACTTATTCGTTTATAAGACTTCCATTTTGTGGTTTTGTCAAATTTATTCATAAACACCATACAGTATATGCTATAGTTAGCATAGTAGGTTAGCACATTTGTTCAGTCCCAAATTAAGCGGAGGATTACGCTGCCAGTAATGACAGGTGAGAAACCTTCCACTCATTCATCTCTTACATGCTGCTCAATAATATATCACCTCATCAAAAAGAAGACGAAAGGTGAAACGGGGTGAATTTGAGTTTTATTGACCGGAAGTGAAATGGATGTGATTCTCCATCTAGGCCAAAGTTCACCGGGCAAGGTATCAATCATTGCTATAAATATTGAAAGAGGGCATGAATAGACTTGGCCTGTTTAGCAAAAACTAAATTATAATGTTACTCTTACCATATGGTGTATGATAATTTAACACCATTCTTTCAAAAAGAAAACATTTCTTGCTTATTTAAACAAATAAATAATCAATATAATTTCAAGAGCAACAAACACTCAAATTTAATTCATTCTGACACATCATTTTTCTTTTCAAGTATGCATATTCTTTGTAAGTCATGCATTAAAGTAGCTTAATGTCATTTATGATGTCCACAGTAAAATCCTTTTCCAGTTTTAATGCAATTTTTTTTGCAAGGCAATGTAAAAAACGTCTTCCTTCTTGCCTGAACGCAGCTGAACTGAGAAACTCAGCTTAACCTGTTAAAGGATTTATTTATATACCGCTGTAATTAAAAGGTCTTGTTAGGACAGTGGCCTCAGAAAGTGGGAAAGTAAGAATGGGTTGGTCCTTTTTAAACCCCCAGTGAAACCATATGTTTTACAGAAAGGCAATCTAGAAGAGTGAGGTGATAGGTCATGGTTTAACTTTAGTCACGCAAGGCATTTTGTGACACTGGTGTAATTGAGTATAATGGCCCTCCTATTTAATCAGCTATGACTTTGTGAAATATCAATTATTTAAGTGAATTTATTAATCATTTACAAAGACTCAGGAGGAGAGGGTGTAAAAACAAATGATGTAATGCAACAAGAATTTATATTAAAGGCATTTAGTCGATATTAGATTTCTGCTATATTGGATAGTGAACTTTACCCTGAAGGTTCTGCACGTCAGATCAAAGAGCAAATGAGATTTAGCCCTTCCAAAAATACCAGTACGTTTATAGTCAGACAACACGCTTCTAGTTGTAAGTGGATTATGTCAGTTTAGCTGTGAGGAGAATGAAGCGCGGCACTTTCGCTTCGGTTATGGTGACAATTTTCAGATGATCAACATTTTGGACAAAGACGGGATTTCAGTATGGGTCAAATTCAAAGTGATGAAGAAGAAGAAGTGGAGCTATCAGATATCCAGCCTCTTTATACCAGATTCATGAGAGAGTGCCCAAGTGGAGCCCTGCATCTTCATGAATTCCGCAAGATCTTCGGAGTTCAGAGCACATCGGAAGATGAGGCTTTGTTCATGGAAACGCTCTTCAAATCTTTCGACACAAACAAGGTAAGTATTTTTTACATTATTTAAAACTTTTAAAATGCAAGTGCACATTTACTTCAAAATTTTATAGTGATTGCAAAGCAGCAATTTCTATTCATAAGCTGTGATTATGTGCATATGTGATCAGCTCATCAGCCGAGAATTTGTGTGCATTTGCAGGATGATGTTATAGACTTTATGGAATTTGTAGCAGCTGTCCACCTGGTTCTGAGAGGGAACCTAGAGGACAGATTGAAATGGTCTTTTAAAGTTTATGACAGAGATGACAGTGGAAAGTTGGACAAACAAGAGGTCAAACGCATTATAAAGGTGAGAGTGGTCTTGATTCTCACCACTGTCATGTTTGTATTTCCTTGCCTAAAAAGTGTCTCGCTTTTTCCTTCTAGATCATTTGTAAACTTAAGAAAAACCACATGAACATGACACCCAGTGAAATATGTGACAAGATATTTGAAGTTTTAGATGAAAACAAAGATGGTAAGTGGATTTTTTTATTCCTCAAATAAATATTTAAAGATCCCCTGTGGTTCAAATCAAGTTTTTAAATGTTGGTTATATGTCTATGGTGTTTTAATATGCTTTAAGAAATAGTTCACCTAAAAATAAAAATTGTGTCATCACTTACTCGCCCCCCAAGTTGTTCCAAACCAGTACGAGTTTCTTTCTTCTGTTGATGTGCCCCACTGACTTCCATGTTAGTAAAAAAAAATACTATGGAAGTCAATGGGGTCCATCAACTGTTTGGTTACCAACATTCTTCAAAATATCATAAGAAAGAAATTAAAGAAATTCATACAGATTTGGAAAGACATGAGGGTGAATAAACAATGACAATTTTCATTTTTGGGTGGACTATCCCTTTAAGACAAACCATGTGCAAATTCATAAGTCAGCACCATTGCTAGTAATGTCTCCTTAAAACTGCAGTGAACCTAAGAACGCAGTTTTAAACTGCCCGTTTCCTACCGTCCGTCACAAAGACACAAACATATAACCGATCCCGTCCACTCCTTTGATTTTCTATAATCATATTAATTACCATTATGCGTCCAACGTTGTAGAGAGTGATACATAAAGCACGTTACCATTGGCTTTAATACTTTAATATATTGACTTGTAGACAACTCTGTATAAATCGTACTTCCTCTTTTTGTTCTGAGTCAGTTTCTGGTTCAAACATATATGGCTGGATTAAACCAATATTTCTACTTGCCACTGTGTAGCGTTTACTACAGTTGATCCAGTGGAGCTGGTGTTAGTGATTGGAGGCGGGGCTAATTTGCATATTCATGTGTCCATGTATAGTGTAGAGTTCCATTCAAGCTGTTTTAAGCAACAACAAAATGATTTACTCAGGAAAAAAACTTAACTTATCAAAAATGATTTGACTGCAGGGGGGCTTTATAGACCAAAAATGTACTATCTTGTGGTAAACAGATGAACATGTTGCCAAAAGTATGTAAACATTCAAACAGCACACCTAAAAACTTGTTTAGCATTCTATTTCAAGCCATTCATTTACGCAGAGAAAATATTTTCCTATATGAAATATCACTATATTACATTATTTAATGTACTGCATATTGAAAATGAACACAATAATATAATGTCTTAATATATTACAATAGTAATACACAAGTTATTGCCACTTTTCATATATTGAAAAATATGTAGCAATATGTTTACTCATAAATCATATTATATGTAATTTTATATTCAATAATACACTTACGTCATAAAATATGGTACTGTGTGTACATAAGTATATTTGAACATATATATTCATATTTAAATGGGAACATGGATGTGCAAATATATGTACACAATTATGAGGAAAATATATATCAAATCTAATTCGCCCACCATGTTGCCATGATTTTAACAATACATCCAAATGTCCAAATATTCAACATTTGTTTTCAGTAAATACATATTTTCATTATATCAAATGTGTAACTGTGCAAACAATAAACTAAGTGAGATCCATTTCGAAGTGTAATGTAAAACTAAGCGCACGTACACGCCGTTAAATGTCAGAGCGAAACTAAGCTAAATGTAGATCTACATCTGGGGAGCGATTTTTTTTTAATTTTTTTTCTAGGATGGTAGGGGAAGACTCATAAATGCTATTAACTCCAGTGACGGGTAGGTTTAGGGACGGGGTTGGGTTAGGTCATATATTTATATATACAGTAATGTAATGTTAAGTCAACGGCGTTCATAAACACGCTGAAAAGCGATTATGCGTGTTGATAGCACGCCAAAAATGGAAATACAAATTGGCGTGTCATACATACGCCATTTCATGAGATCAGTCTGAAATAGTAATGGTACAAAAAGTTGTTTCATGTAAAACAGTTATTTATGACTGTTACAAATAATTTTTTACACACTATATCATTTCATATATCATTTATACATATCATATATGTGTCGTTTCCACAGAGTACACAATAGGTACATCATTTGAGTTGTGGTGGAAATTATATTTGCTGCTCGAGGAAAATGTCTGAAATCTATTTTGGACTATAATATATCTGATACAATTTGACATATTAAACTCATACATGAGTGTGTGAAAATTATGTTTCTAAAAATCCACAGGAGCACATGGATGAATAAACCTTATATAATAATCCCGTGTGGCAGCCTAAATGTGTGTTGGCTTAGACTGTTGCTAAAATAAGCCTGTCAGTGGAGGGAGCGGATGATGAGAGAATAAATTAAAAACAGTCTTCCTCTTCATCCACAGGTCAAATATCCCTATCAGAGTTCATGGAAGGGGCACAAAAAGATGCCTGGATTATGGACCTCCTAAAACTGGACACTAATGCACGGGGTTGGTTCAGGGAAAAATGGGGAAAAGATCCATGAGCTTTCATCCACATCCCATGGGCCAAAACCTGCTTGCCCTTTTACAATCTTTCAAATGTTGAGGCCTGCAAATGAGAGAGACCTGGTATAGAGGTCAGAAAATATTTGCCTTCTGTCACGAGCGAATACGTGCCTCATCATACATTGATCGCATTGATGTTCAAACAGTCTGCATGTGTAAAAGCGGGTTCCGTCACATTTTCTTCTGAGTGTGGTGAAGATGCTGGTATTCTTATGAAGGATGGATATAATTACCCAAAACTTGGTTTAAGAAAAATTAATCGTGTGTTCATAGATGGAACAATAACTAGGTTCCATAGTCAATTTAAAGGGATACTCCACTTTTTTTGGAAGTAGGCTCATTTTACAACTCCCCCAGAGTTAAACAGTTGAGTTTTCAAACCCATTCAGCCGATTTTCTGATATTTTGAAGAATATCAGTAACCAGACAGTTTCTGATCTCATTGATTTCCATAGTATATATTTTTTCCTACTATGGAAGTCAATGAGACCAGAAACTGTCTGGTTACTGATATGCTTCTAAATATCAGAAAATCGGCTGAATTGATTCGAAAACGGTAAAACACAACAAGTTCACGTGGCCGTCATCAGATTTGAAAGTCACTCAAAAGGCTCTTTTACGATGGCTTTCAGTCAACTACAGTGAGGCGTGGTGGTTTATGGGAGGAGTAGTTCCTTTGCTCTAAAATGAAAATATGTACACAAGCTTGTACCCTTGACTCTTTTTTTGGGGGGGATTTTCTCTTTGTTTTTTCAATCGAAATGCTATGTTGTATGCTTAATGAGTTCAGCCGTAGCTGGTTATCCTCAGACATGCTCTAATACTCTTTAGATATGGATTTTACAAAATTTCAATGGGAGAAATGAATTGGAAATTTACTTCCGGCACCAACGCTCTCTCGGGCTGTGTGCAGGACTATGATGCTCTATTGAGATGACTTGTTAGGCATTATTCCGCAGCAGCGCACATGGCCAACTTACACAAATATAAATAGATACATATTACTTTTTTCTGTTGGATGTAGCCTTTTTGAAAATTCAGGGCTATAAAGAAAATACACACTGGTAAAATGGTGAGTTTTATATTTGTATTATTTATTTATTTAATTTTTTTTTCCTAAAAAAAGAAAATGTTTATTTAAAAGTAATAATTTTGAATAATTCTGCCCTATAAAGCAAAAAGGCAGTACCGGTAACTACGCAGAGTGCAGAACTGAGAAAAATGGCTTTAACTAGGGCTTTTTGCAGTTACCGTACAAACGATTACCATTTTTCTCCCAAACAACACACATTTGAGATACGATGTTTTGTCACATAACAAAGGAGGCCTTAAATGTCATGAAAATGACAATAACTAATGTTTCACCAAAAATGCAGTTACTGCCTTTTTGCTTTGTAGGGCAGGATTGTTTTGGATGAGCATAAATTAATCCCTCTCTGCACTATCCGAACTGAGTTGTTTACCAGTTTCGTTACATTTCGTTACGAATTTTCGAGCAACGGAGGACTTCATAGGAAATTTCGCCAGAGAACAGAGGACTTGTTCGGGGCTCATGGCGGACATTCACCCAAGGCCTTACGGAGGACGGATTCATTGAGCATCGTCGATGTTTGTTTCAGTTCGAAGACAATTGTTTTGGTCCTTGGACTGCCCTCGCATATTCCATGTGTGCATGCAGATGAGTGAGTACAGTTGGACTGAGATCTGTTGAATATCAAATCATTTGGAGGAAAAGTGCATCAACGGTTCATGGCAATTTCAAATGCACTGGTTTAGAGACCAAGTTTGTGGGTTCTCACATTTATCATTGAGCTATTGAGTGTTTAATATCTGTATTTGATACATGTGAACAAGAGTTGTAATAAGGGAACTGATTATCAAAGACTCGGTTTAGGGAAACAAATCAATTAAGAGTCATTTGATCACGACTGAGTCAATTTAAGAGTCATTTGATCACGACGGTGTCAATAGCCGTTTCGCAATACCAAGGGTGCTTCTCAATATCCCCCCTCGTCTCCTCGCTCCGCCATCCTCCATCCTATGACCCGGAAACCGATGGAGCTCAGCCATCTTGAAGGACATCTCAATTCTCCAATTGCACCGCGAGGAGTCGAGGAGTGAGGAGACTTCCTGAGGAGTCATGAGCGAGGTATCCCATTCGGAAGTGTTTTATTGACTAAACGTGATGCACATATTAATTCTCCTCCCCCTTCACATCGGTCACAATCATTTTAATTTATACTTCACCTTTGCAGTTTATATAAACCACACATCTCACATATTTCAACAGTGTAGCCTATATTTATTATTATTTGTTATAAATTTTTTAAATAACCAAACTTCAACAACATAAGGGCAGATGCTTTTAGCGCTGCTGATGACACTGTGGAGTGACGCTCGAGTGATCAAGTATTCCAGTGTATATAAAAAACGTTTTATTCGATTCCTCCGTCCTCCTTTCCGTTCCTCGCTTCCTTCCCTAGTGTCCTACAGGGGGTGGAGTTGAGACGCGAGGAAAGGAAATGAGGATGCACATAAAAGAAATGAGAAGCACCCCAAGTATGCAAACTTTGGACTTGCGTCCTTGGTAGTTGGGACTTGCCAAGTTCAACTCAGGAGAACGAACTCTAGAGGACGAGAGGATGCAAGTCCGGTTCTTCTGCAAATGGAACAGAGCGTTCTTGATTGCGCTCTGGCTACTCCGGTTATCTCTTTATGTATATTGTAGGCAACAATAAAATGAAATATGCTACAACTCTGCCTCTTTTCATCAACAATTAAACGAAATATGTTATAAAACTCCACTCTGCCTCTTTTCATTTAAAAAAATCTTAAACATATTAGCCTTATGGCCACTTGGTTCAGGCAACGCGTACATTGATTATCTTCACTGAATATATTTATACATTTTACATGCAGGATCTTACACCGATTACAGCATGTAAGGCCATGTAGATGCCTTAAAGTCTTCTTAAAACGGTTATATGTAATAAACTGCTTATTCAATGTGCAAAAGTCTTGTGCATATTCTGAGGAGCTTGCAAAATTGACCATTTTGGGCTGGACTATCTGTTTGAGTAAAAGAGGGAACAAAATGCTTAAATGCCTAAAGCTTATTATTCATGACTGTTGAAGTTGTGGAAGAATCTACATACTGTACAATATGTGCACCAATAAGAGCTGCATTCAAACGAATTCTGTAGGAAACCCAGCATGGAGCCAGAAGCGCATTTATCATTTATGCCAGCATGAGTTCACATGTGCTGAGTTTACAGGACATTTGACACACAGGGCATCTATGTACATGCATCTTTTATACACATAAATAAACCAGTTTTTTTTTTCTTTGATTTATCGACCTGAAATGGAAGACAGATTAATGCCAGCATGGTGCCTCCCACTATGCAATGTGTTCACACATGGTGCTTAGCAATGAACTATTCTTAACAGTGATATAATTCAAACCATGTCATTTTTTTTTTTTACTCTTAAGCCTAAATGGAGCTCATCCTCTGACTGAACCACAATTAACCCATATAAATCACCTATGTATGTGGCGTGTGTGAGAGAGAGTTTTAATATTTCAAACCTTTCAAAAAGTTTTCTATTAAATGAATCATCAATATAATAAACCCAAATGAATTATGCTGAATATTACTTTAAGTTACTCATTTACAAGTTCAGAGGTGATTGCCACTTCTAATAGAAATCAAGTCATTGAATTGTTGAACTTTTGGCTTGTGAAGGATTTTGCATCTCATTTTTTGTAACGGGTTCTGCATTCCTGAAGGATTAAAGCAATTTTAATCTAATTTCAGAAGCAATTCTGTTGCATCAAAGAGCTTAAAACAGATCTGTTTTAGCATATCTTTTAACAGCCTTCTGAAGCAGTTCCTGGCAGTTTATTCAAAATTCATGTGGCTTCCTGGCCCACCATAACAAGCATATTAAAATTCTCTCTGACTTACTGTAGTTTTCCCAGTCAGACGGAATATGCTAAATGGTTTGCAGAGACATGGTCAGAGTATTATGACGCTTTTCCACTGCATGCTATGGTACGGTACGGCCCGCTTTGGCGCTTTTCCATTGCATGCTACGGTACGGCTCGCTTCGGCTCACTTTAAATGGTACCTGGTCTGTTGAGGTTCCAAGCATACCTGTTATCCATCAGTCTATAATCCCACCCACTTTAAAGCGGTACTAACTGGCGTGGAGAAGCAATAGAGCTAAAGCGAACCGAGCTGTGCCGTGTTGAGCCGAGTCGTACCACGCAGTGGAAAAGCGCCATTAGACTGTTAATTCAAAACAAAACAGGAAACAATTGCAATCTATCAAGATCTATCCATCTATTTATCTATCTACACACACATACCCACCCCTTTTCCTTCCGAACTGCTTTAATTATTTGTGGCATTGATTCAACAAGGTGCTGAAAACATTCCTTTTTGTAGAGAATTTGGTCCCTGTTAACATGATAACGTCACGCAGTTGCTGCACATCCATGATGTGAATCTCCCATTCCACCACATGCCAAAGGTGCTCTATTGGATTGAGATCTGGTGACTGTGGAGTCCATTAGAGTTTAGTGAACTCATTGTCATGTTCAGGAAACCAGTTTGAGATGATTTGAGCTGTGTTATGCATCACAAATTTTTTTTTTTTGAAAATAAATGTATTTTCCCGCCAAATTTACTCCATAGTCTCACTGCATGTTAACAATTGCTTAACTGAGCTACCTTTAAACAATAAAATATTCTTCAAAGATATCATTGTGCAACTCATTCTTAACTCCACTGCACCATTGAGAACGGATGCATCTATGTTTAGTGAGGAGGAATTTCAGCTATGAGACTAAGGCAATGGCAGCAGAAGAACAGAGGACTGGTCACATGATCCAACAACGACAGAAGCTCTTGAATGTGGAACCATAAAATGGTGTTTATTCACAATAGAAACTGGCTCTTGTGTGAGTAAACACAGGTGTGTGGCTTTACTTTGGGGTCAAATCCTCAGAAGTTAGACATGACACCTTATGTGCGAACCGTGTGTGTGTATGTGTGAAGTACTATATGTGTAAAGTCTGTGTTGCTAGGAAGGCTGAATCTCTAATCCGATGAAACGGAAGGCCATGTGATGGTTTTTTCTAAAGTAAAGTGTCAGTCATTTGGGAACACTGCAGTTTATTTTTTTTTGTTCAATATTGCATGCAATCCTGCAGTGAGAGTCTTTATTTAACTTGCTGTTGGCATATTTGTACATTTGTTTGTGTACAAACACGTGTACCAACATTCTTGCTGTCCACTGTTGTCCCTTTAGGGCCATTTGGACTTAGAGAAACAGCATACAGTCAAAGTTTATTTATACAGTGACTAT